AATCGCTTTTACACTTTGATTTGATGCTGTTTTACCATCACCTAAGCGTTTGTGCGGCTACAAGGGCACGTCTGCAAGAAGCCCAGCTGCGCCCTGTCTGTCCCCACCCTCCTCTCTCCCTGAGGCAGGTGCCGCCTTGTTTTACCTTTTCGTCATTTTACCAGTTGGAGCAAACACGTGGTCTCCCTCTGTGAGCGCCCCCCACCCCCGGGGTCAAATACGACGTGTCATGTCCACGAGTCTGCACTCTGCTTGTCTTCACGGAACCACACTCTCTAAATGGTTGGCGGGAAAGTCAGGGACCTGTGTGCAGCTGGCAGTGTGTGCCCGCAGCCCAGGTTGGAAATTTGTAACAAGTCCCCTCTGCTGAGCTTTGGGGAGCCACAGTGGAGGGCAGGAGGGGGTGCGGAGGAGGGGCCGGGGTGCCTGGTGGATTCCTGGGACAGAAATGGCACCGAGGTTACCTGCCTGTCACTCCTTCACCCAGCTCCTACCATCCCTGGCCTCTGAGGCTAAGAAACGACCAGGAGGGAAGTGGAGGGAGCTGAGCCCCAGGGTGACGTAGGTGGGAGTGGCCCCCGGAGGAGCTGGCACGCCCGGGCGTTGGAGGCTGCTCACCGGTGTGCTCCCCCAGGACGGTCCGGGACAGGATCACAGTGAAGATGGGGGCCGAGCTCTTCACCGTCTCAGCGAAGGACACCGCCACATTTTTCAGGCTGACCAGACCCAAAACCACTGTTGCAAACCTAAGACAGTCAACAGCATCACAGGGATGAGTTGGTGCATCTGCAGCCATGGGGCAGACCTGGTAGGAGCCCAGAGGGTGCGCACGTCTGCCCCGCCCCCCCGGCCCCCTCCCTCCCAGGATCACCTGATGGTAACAGTCAGCCAGGGGGAAGTGTTTTACGTGTAAAAAACTCAGTCCCTCAACCAGAAACGTTAGCTGCTTACCTCATGAGACCCACGAACAACATGGTCATGATGAAGTTGGGAGGGTAAGAAAGCCGGGTTTTGTGCTGATACAAACAGCAGGGAACAAATATTTTAACACAGCCGATGAGCGTGGTTGACAGCATCTGCACGGCCCCTGGAGGAGGAGACGGGGCGCCAGCTGAGCAGAGGGGCTCCACCCCGCCGGGAGCTCCATCCCACCGCCAGCGCCCGGCGGGGTACCTAGCATGCTGGGCTCCCCTTCCAGCAGGGACAGGATGTACTTGTTGAGACACAGGGTGCAGAAGCTGAAGAAGAACCAGAGCGTGAGGCAGATGAGGGCGCGGGCACCCCACACGCCCAGGTCCGCCGCGATGACGGTCGTCTCGGTGACGGTGACCGCGAGCACCTGCTCGTCGGGGCCCCCTTCGCTCTGGCCAAATGCGATCTTCTCACTCCGGTGGCCAAACACGGGGCCCCAGGCCAGGAGCGGCTGTCCCCCTGGCTTCTCACCGGGGCCCGGAGCCAGCTCTGCCAGGGCCGCGGGCTTAGCGGATGCCGACATCTCAGGGGCGGCGGGCAGCACAGGGCAGGGACGCGGGGACGGAGGCAGCGGCCATGCGGGTGGCACTGGGCGGGGCGCGGGCTGGAGTGGGAAGGAAAGGACAGCGTTGCGTGAGCGGCTAAGGTCCTGCCGAGTTTAATCACCCACTCAGAGTAACTTCAAGACGCAAACTCGGGGTCCTGGCTTTGTTTCCAGCCCCAAAGGAGCGGGCGCCCCAACGGCTCGGGCTTGTCTTCCAATAAGTTTCTGAGACCAAAGCCTTTACCGGCCTCCGTTCCCTCTCCACACACCTGACCCTCCAGCCAATCCCGCCCGAACTCCTTCTCCAGTACCTGCCAACCCCTGCCTCTTCCAGCCCCGCCCCACCCCCAGAGCAACCCGCACCCCCCAAGCGGCCGGCCCAGCCTCGAGCTCATCCTCCAGGCTGCCCTCCCGAAGCCTGGCTGAGGCCTGGGGTCTCCGCCCTCACCCCGGAAGCTGTCACAAGTGCTCTGCACCTTCCCACCCACCCTGGGACCAACCAGAGCCGCTGAGGAAGGGGCCCCCTCGCCCAAAGCTCTTCCCACCAGGCTGGCTCTCCCACGCCCTCACCCGACTTCTTAATATTTCAACCAGTGTTCTGAGTTGACCTTTATGGAAGGGTTGACCCGCCCCGTCAGAGACTCAGTTTCTGTCCCTCCATCGGGTTTTGAGTTCCAACCCCTGCGTTCTTCGCGTTCTATTTGTTACCGTTTCAAACTGGCCTGTTTCTCTCAACTTTCGATTCCTTCTTTGCATCGTTTCTTTCACGGTCCAACAGTTCACCACCCAAGCCCTGACCGTACGACCCTCAACCTCTTAGTGGGTCAGCGGCCCGCTGGCTTGAGGGGGCTGTTCTCATGCACAGATCCTGGGCCAGGGGACCTCCTCCTGGGCTTGAGGGCGGGCAGGCCTTGGAGCGGGCATGGGCACTGCCTCTGCAGGTGCCCAGGAGAGGGTGATCCTCGCTCAACAGACCCACACCCGCTTGGCGCTCAGGCCTATGGCCACGACTTCTCAAGAGAGACCCCTCACTCCCTAAGATCACAGGCAAAGTCCGACCCGGTCTCTCCCGTTTGCTGGTGGGTGAGTGCTTCAAGTTCTGGCACTTCTTTTTTTTTTAATTTATTTTTTTGGCCACGCCGCGCAGCTTGTGGGATCTTAGTTCCCCGACCAGGGATTGAACGCGTGCCCTTGGTGGTGAAAGCGCTGAGTCCTAACCACTGGAACGCCGGGGAAGTCCCAGTTCTGGCTTTAAGCAGCATCCCAGTGATGACCACCTGCCCAGCTCAGGAGCCCTGGCCACTCCTCCCCAGTGACACCAAACCGCAGTTCCCAGCCCCCTGCCCCCACCTCTAGGCAGCCAAGCCGGCTGCCTATGTGCTCGTCCCTCCGATGCTGACATACGGGGGGCGCCCGTCGTGCTTTAACCTAACCTCCAGGCATGTGTGACCCAGACAGACTCGTGACTACCTGACCCCACCTGAAGCCAGGCTCCTGGCTGAGCAGCTCCCTCAGCTCCCTGTGTCCACCCAGTGCTCTCGGTCACCCCACAAGCTCAGCAGCACCAGGTCCTGGTGGGCACCCAGGCCTGACATGCACCCCGACCCTCGGGACACCAGGGCAGCTCCCCAAACGCACCCCAGACCACGACAGATGCACGTGGCTCTCCCGTGGGCCCCCACTACCCCCGCGATACACACGAGCCCTTCGAGCCCTCCGGGCGCTGACGGGGCCAGATCTCCGCTAACGCCCCGTCCTCCTTCCTCTTCCCAGCCTGGTCCCGCCGTCCTCTCCGGGCCACACCCTGCCGGGAGCTGCACCTCCGTGGGCTGGACCGGCTGTGGCCCAGCGGGGGTGTGGGGAGCCCGTGCTGCCCCCCAGCTGGGAACAGGGGCCCAGCTGCGGGTGGATGGAAAACACAGGAACAAAGCCCGTGTGTGGCTCTGGGTCCCCGAGAGCAGAAAGATGGCGCCCCACCCCCGGGCCCCTGGCTGACCCCGTCTGGATGCCCAGCCCTGCAGCTGGGCCCCCCCAGGGCACAGCTCCCACTGGCCGTGGGGGCTCTGCCTCTCAAGGGAGCCCCCGTCAGGACCACCCACGGCGCCAGGCCCCTCTCTTCAGGGACCCTGACCCGGTGTTTGTCTCACAAGCCCCGACGCCACCGCTGAGGCTCCAAAACCAAACCTGTTTGTGAGGTGATGCTCCAGAAGCCCCCGGGGAGGGTCCCATAGCCTTTCCTCTCTCTCATCACAAAAAGAGGCTGGAGACAAGGTGCAGGCGCTTCCCCCCGACTCTCTCCACTCGGTTTCAGTCTGGGAAACTCACAGCTTCCCAGGCAGCACCGCCAGCCGGGCCTCCGCCTCCTTCTCTGCAGCTCAAGGAGCTCTGGCCCGACGCCAGAGCTCCGCTGCTGAGCCCCGAGGCCCTGGGGCGCCCGCTCTCCTTCCTCAACAAGAAGCTGCTTTGAAACAAAGCCGGGTCCGCGCAGCTGCCGCTCACCTGGTGACAGTGCGGCACATCACTGGATGAACAAGCCACCAGGGACTCATCCCCACTGCTGACCACACCGGGCCCCGGACCGTCCGCCACGTCCGTCCTGTGCGGGTCGTTCCTTGTGTTTCTGCTGGGTCTGCGCCCACGGGGCACCCATGACCCCCGAGGTCATCGTGCTGGGCTTGTACCCTCACCCACCCTGGAGGTTCTGCCCCTTCTGCCCCGAGGGTGGAGGGTGTTGGCGGCCTCTGAAGAGCAGAATCCACCACACACACACCCCCACCCAACCAGCACACGAGGCTCCAGCGCCTCCCGACTGTCCCAGGCTGAAAGCAGGTGGCAGCACAGATGCAAACAGATTCAGACCGAAACGGTGGGGATGGGACCATTCAGGAGTCACCGCAAGTGATAGGGAACGTAAGAAAGAGTCAGCAGAGCCCGTGGCCGGGGTGGCATGGGGACAGAGCGTCCGTCAGATGGGGTCAACGCGGCACTTTTTTGCCAGCAGCAAAACAAAAGCCAAACAGAACCTACGTGCCTGTCGACAGGGACGCAGACGGCAGCGAGTGGGGATGGACGCCCCCAGCGGGCAGAGGGAAGCCGCACACGGGCGATGGGCGACAGGCAAACCTTAGAGCCGTCAGAAGTGCTGAGGCCAAGTCGCGGAAGGAGACACACGACACAGCGCCACCAGCAGCACTTAAGTGTGTCCAGACACGACATGTTATTAGAAATAAAAGCACAAAAAGTGCTCTTAAGAGCAAAGAACTGGGAACTCAAGCTGGGGGTGGGTGGGCCTGGGTTGGGCCGCAAGGACGGGGACGCAAGCGGACAAGCATGGCGGGCATCGCGCTGTTTTCTAGGCTGTTCCAAAAGCTGAGGATTTATACATGAAAAAGAGCCAGGCAGCACCTGGGGAGACAGATGCCTGTTCAGACCAGAGCCTCCCGGACCGTCTGCCCTTGATGACCTGGTCTCAGGTGGCGCCAGGAGCTTTCTGTGTCCTGCCGCAGGTTCCGGACTGGAAGGCAGCAGGTACTCCATCACAGACCAGCACTGCTGTCCACTGCGTCCAGAGCAGGGCCCAGGGAGCCCAGGACGGATGCTCAGGCTCCCTCCAGCGCGTGACCTCTTCCTGACCATCAACAGCCCACAAGCAGCCCACCCAGCCTGGTGACCGAGGACGCGACAGGCAAGGGACAGGCAGACCCCCCCCCACTTTCACGTGCAGCAGGAGGGGTCGGCAACCTCCGTGTGTGTAGTTTCCGGAAGGAGTCCAAATGCCTCTGGAGTCAGAACAAGGGCTTTGAATGTCTTAAGAAATGAAATCACGGGACTTCCCTGGCAGTCCACTGGTTGGGACTCTGCGCTCTCAGCGCAGTGGCTCGGGGTTCAATCCCTGGTCGGGGAACTAAGATCCCGCAAGCCGCGTGGCCCAGCCCTCAAACAAACAAACAAACAAACAAACGAAATCAACTTCGGAATGGACGGTCCTATCTTGTTCCTTCTCGACAAGACTCACCAAGTCATGCCAGGGTTCCTAGTTGTTTGCTTGCTTTTGCTTTGTCAGGCGATGGGGGTCTGAGGCCTGGAGGGCTCCACCAGCGGCTCCGGGGGTGGGGCTGGGGGGCTGGAATAGGGAGGGGCCACCACAGAGAAGCGGCGGAGACCAGGCAGTGAATGAGGCCCCTGGGCTGTGATGGAGGCCGAGGTGGCAGGGAAAGCAGAGACCAGGGCGGGTGGCCCTCCAGGCCGGATGCCAGAAGACCCTTCTCTGGGGAATTCAACAGGCACGGGATAGACCTTGAGGACAGAAATCAGGGCCCCAAGGAGAGGCCTTGACAGAGAAAGCAGCTGAGCAGCCCCAAGCTTCTGGTCACCCTTCAGTGCCCTGGGAGCTGAGCCAAGGCAGGAGACGGGGCAGGGGGAGCCGAGTGCCCACCAGCAAGCAGGACGTGCTGCTTTGAAAGTCACCAGAACAGGGTCCCTGGGGATCAAGACTAGGGTGGCAGAAGTGGAAATCTCGCCAGGGGCCCCGGGCTCCCAAGAAGATCCGACTCAGGACAGGACTTGACGTGGAGGCTCCGAAGACCCCCAGAACACACGGGGAGCTCGAGGTGGCGGGCATCAAGGATGCAGCCACCAAGGTGACCTGGGGTCCTGCTTCTGGACACAGCCCACAAGGGCCAAAGCAGCCCCATCCACGGCCCAGCCACCAGAAGGAGAGGCAAGGTGCCCTGGAGAAAAGCTTCCACGACTCAGCCTGAGGACAGGTGAGGATCAAAGATCAGAGACCACCTGGCCAGCAGGCTGCCAGTGGGGAAGGAGCAGCCTCCTGGCTGCTCCAGAAGGGGCAGATGGACAGGATGCAGTCGTGCAGACAAACAGACGAAGAAACTGTCAGGAATAAATCAGCGGGATGAAAACATGGCAAGTCTAGAGAGGAAACGTCTCACTGCTGAATGAAACTACGGTGTCCTCTGACTATTTCCCTGCGAGGTGTTAACTGGTGACCAGGGTCAACCACAACTTTACCCCCCGGAGAAACGAGCGGATGCCCCTCCACGGA